CTACCTGTGCTGTCTGTCAGATGTGTTCATTGCTGTACGTCTAACTAATCAAAATAAAAATAGAATCATTTGTATGGCTGTTTGCAGAGTGGAATTTTTCCCGAATTTATCACCTGAAATCTACCCCTCCCTCAGTTCTTCTTGATGTCACTTGACGTCAGCATTCCTGAGCAATCCGAATAGCGTGCGTGTCTAAAGGTGTGCACACGGCCCACCCCTGTGCCCCAAGTCAGTGCTGAGCTGGCCAGCCCTGCACCATGTTTACCCTCGCTTGCAGCGAGCCTTACACCGACCGATTGGGTGATCAAGAGGCAGTTTAAGGACGGCCGCCTAGGTCCTCAGGAATTATTTAACGTCGCAAACAGGATGACTATCACAGCCAAAGGAAGGTAACCCGCCGGTATTTATTTATAGACGTCCGATTCTCGTCTCCACTGTACGGCTGGCCTGCCCCTCATGACCTATCTATAGCACAGCTGGCAGACAAAGGACAAAGCAGCAAAGCATGCGTGCTCTCCTCCCGGTGGGTTGGTATGGTGACCATGACCCAGTGCTTCGTCCAGGGCCCTTCAGATGGCAATGCCCTCTCCTTCCAGATGCTCCACGTGAACAATGCCGACTCTCAAGGTTGAGCGCTCACGACTCCTCACATGAGAGCACTCTCAAGACAGAACACACGTTTTCACGGTGAGAAGTGTCGAAGAGGGTGGATAAGGTTAAGAGCAACGTGCCTCAAAATAACTGCCCCCAACCACAGATATTCTCACCAGATGACCTGTCGTCGATTGTGATGTACCACAGTTCCACCTCAACATCAATCGCCCATCAGATAGTTCTTATCACACTGCCAAACACCCAATTCACCACTCGGCCTTCCTGGCGATATCCCTCTCCACCTGGGTCGCCTGCTTGCCTTCGCCCTCTTCACTGCACACTACCCACGGTCGCTCACCCAGCTAACCGCGTGCATGCACCGCATAAGCAGAAGACAAGCGCCAGATTAGCGCAACGTACCACAGCTCCGATACCAAAATGCAAGGAAAATGAGAAATAGCGAATTCCAGAAATCAAGCAGCATCATATGCATGAAACCAGATGGTCTTGATCTCAAACCAAACGCAGAATTGCAACTCGAGTTCCACTAAATAAGAGCACAGCAAAAGCTCACAAGCGACAATGTTGGAATAGTCTCATCATCATCATCAATGAACCAATGTCGAATCCCTATCTGGCGCTCAGCGCCTAGACTACGAATGGCAGATCCTATCTAGCCTATCTACAATGCCGCTGGTAACGTCAACAGCTCCCCGAAGTACGAGCAGATCTCGGCCAATGCTGTTTGCCTCACGCACCAGGTATCTCTCACACTTTACTCACAACTTCGATCCCCCACACAGATGTCACGTGCACCCAAGGACCACCATGCACCCCATCCAGCTATGCGCAGGCCAGCTCGGCTATGGCTGCCTGCTTCTTCCCTGCTTGCCTGTGAGTGCGTAGGCTCTCGCTCCAGCAGCTGGTGCAGCAGTGCTTGCGTATAAGCAGCTAGTGCCCGAATGCCAAATGTGGAGGCAGGCACTTTCCTTTATGGAAGTGGCCTGCCTGGTGCGTGCTGCCTGGCTGCACTGGGTCCCTGCTCAGAAGCTTCCGGTAGGCCCCAAGTCCCTGCTCAGAAGATTCCAAGCGTGCTGTGCGCAGTTTGTGCCCCGTGTCTGCCCCAGGGCCTGTGCCCAAAAACATAGGAAGGGCCTAGAAGGCCTTGACTGGATACTGTTGCCCACGGCCTGGGTTCATTCAACCAACTGACGCAGCATAACTGTCTCAGCCTCACTTTGCGAAAAAGGACGAAATAGGCCTCATGTAATTTTACAGGGCCGCCTTCACTTAGGACGGCCATCATTGCTGAGAGGCCCATTATGCTCAGGGCGGGCTATGGCCTCACATTATCAATATTTATTTTCTGTATTTTATTTTTATTTCACAGTTAGTAGAATTTGGATGTAATGCTCAGGCAAATGTTCTTTATTTTAGTTTTCTTCATAACATTTTTTTTTCCCAGATTTTTTGGATTTTTTTTTTTTTTTGGTTCAAGCTTGGCCGAACGCATCCTCACAGGGTCCTGTACGTTCGAGCCTTGGTGTTCGGGCATTCGGCCCGTCTCGAACGCGGGTTACCCTGATCTCTACATTATTAAAATCTCTAAGGGAACCAATCTCTGATCCAGGCTGTTGTCGATCCTACCGTCCCACAGCCAGGATCTTCCGAAACATGTAATAAATCTGAAACCCCGGCCGTTCGGTCCCACCGGATCGACGGGCCGGATTGGCACGCGGTCTTAAACCAACACTACCCCCGTCGGCCTAAATTCAATTTTCCTGGCCTTACAGACCGGGTTCTTAGAGGGGCCAGCGACCGGAAGGCGCAGGCAGGTCCGGTTCAAGGATTTTCAAGTGCGAACTTTGGAGATTTTTCATGCTCTAGGAATTGATGAAAAAAACTGAAAATTGGAGATCCTGTAGATTAGGTTGCGATCTTTGCAGTGAAACAGTATTCACCTGTTCTCAGTAGCCGATGCAGATCCCAGGGCCCGATCCCTAGACTTACCTTACCTGTGTACGGTATCTGTGTCAACCCCGAGAGTTTAACCCGTGACCTGTGTATTTGTAACAGTTGGTAGACTGTCGTCGGGTCCGTAGGTAGTAGGGGTTCGATCTGTAGACCTGCCGGGTAGGAGTCTTAGCAAGGTCTAGAAGTCGTAGCTGTAGCTCCTCCGAAAGGTCAAGGTCGTAGCTGCTACAGTCCTGAAGGGTCGAGGTCGTAGCTGCTACAGTATCGAAAGGCCAAGTCCACGGCCTTCCAGAAGGTCCTAGTAGTGGCCTTCGAAGCTGCTCACGTTCAGGCTGAGGCAAGTGGGCAAGTGGTGGAGTCCACCCGTGCTGAGTCAGCAGTCCCAGTCCCAGTCAGTCCTAGTCCAGTCAAGCAAGTACCGCATGGGACTGCGTGCACCACGGGCATGGGAAAAGGGGGAGACCAACGAAGATACAGAAGTTTAAATCAAGAGGCATCACCCAGCCATTCATTCATTCCTGCGTAAGCCATGCAGAAGCGCTGCCACAGCGACATGTGCGAGGTGGTCTGCAGTGAGCCCGAAGACGAAGTGGGCGAGAGAAGGAGCTTAGCCATAGCGATAGGGTAGCAGCGGCCATAGCCGCCATAGCTGATAGGAGGTTGTAGTGTGTATGTGTGAGCATGTGTATATAGTGTGATGCGTGTGGGGTGTCCAGGGTGATCCTCTGTGTGTGTGTGTGTGTGTGTGTGTGTGTGTGTGTGTGTGTGTGTGTGTGTGAACAGAATTGTACCGGCGCAATGGCTATTTGAAGTGAACTTGTATCTGAACTGCGTTCCTGGTTTCCATATCTCTGAGTTCGGAGTGGGTGCTCGTCGCCAGTTTGCTGCGCAACCTGTTTACATGCATATGAAGGGTGAATGAGAGCGAGTCTGATTGCATTGGTATCGGAGCTGGTACCCGATATTCCATGCGCGTGCGTCATGTGCCGCAGGGAGAGCTACGCGCCATAGGCGAAGTCGCCATCGAAGAGGAAGTCCGCCATAGCGGATCCGGAGGTTGAAGAAGCCGTCGCGCACCTGCAAAAAAGACCACGGTGAAGAAGAGAGAGAGAGAGAGAGAGAGATGAGCAATACAAGTTTGGTTTACTACGTACCTTTGTTGAAGACATCGCTACGGAGAGAGAGAGAGAGAGAGAGAGAGAGAGAGAGAGAGAGAGAGAGAGAGAGAGAGAGAGAGAGAGAGAGAGAGAGAG